CGACTGTATCATTTGCATTTTAATAACGAGAAAGTTTTAAAATCCTTTCGCGATACCTTTTTATTTATGTTGCTGAAAATTGGGCACTTTCGAAATAATTTCGCTCGAGACATTACGCCAAACAGATCGCAGCTCTGAGAAAAATAATTACAGTTTCGTTCGTCTTTAAACGAAGATGCCTCTGTCATTATTGTTTCGGTAATAAATTGCTATTGGAAACAAAACAACGCGGCACATTTTCGTAATTCGAATCGAGGTAAATTTCCTCGTTAACGATCCTCATCCCCTTTGTCGACCAGTTGTTTTCATTTTTCCAATAAACATCGGAAATTAATTAATTGCATTCAAAGAAGCAATTATCAATTGAAGGTTAAAAATATATTATTTATTAATTCGTTATTCCGTGTAGGAGTAGAAAGTTGCGGTGTTTTGCGTTCGTAAAAAAGCAGACAATATTTAATTGCATTCGACGTTTGGAGATCTATCGCGTATGGATTAAGAATTAACTGAAACTAAAGATATCGAATTTTATTAACAGAGGTGTTAAACTTATTTTTCACTAAAGATTCATACTTTGAATTTCTCCTGTAATAATAATTACGAGTCTTTATTGCAAAAAGAGAAAATTAAGTATATGTTACGGTACAAAGGCCAAGTACAACTATAAGCTGCTATTAACCCAATCATATACCTTGATAAAAAAAACAGTTGTCGCCTAACGATTACACGTCCATTAATGAGATCGTTCGCTTTGCTTGATACTTGATATATGATTGTTATGAAACTTGTCACACAAATAGAGCATTAAGGAACATTGGATACTCGCGTTTAGGGGTTGAAAACTCGAAAGTTGCGAACGAAAGACAGAGTTTGGCTCGTATCTGTTTAATCAATCATCTTAAACACTTATTAAGGACTTTCAAACGTTGATTTATGATGCAGTAAGCTATTTTCAGAGGACAGCTGCAATATCCATGAATTCGATTAGCTACGAAGAACTAAGGCCCTAGGAGATGCACACTATCAGTAACCTTTCACGTTTCTAGCTAACACGTGCTTCCTCGCCCTCAATAGTGATCGAGGTAACATAGATACGCGAGGGCACACGTAATCGTTGCCAAATCTGCAACCCTGGGCCCATTTCAGATTTAACTGTTCGATCGAATATAATATTTTCAGGGCACGTTCTCGAGACTTAGATCGCAAGAAACAAAGATAAGACATTTTTTTACGATCGTTCGAAAGACGAGAGCCCCCTTAAACGCCGAATGGTCGTTCATGCTCGAGCGGGGAAACCTCGACAAACGTGGAGCACATTTCAAACGCGGCTCGAAGGAAAGGCTGGCCATGGAAATCGCGGACGAGCAAGTAACCGGGCATAAAACGATCTCGAGTAAACGGTCCTCCCGCGAGCAAACCGGCGGATAGCGCTAAGTATTTATCTACCGACCGGGCCACATTCGAAATGCAAATTAGACAAGGCGTTGCTTGAGTGACGGCTCTGCGAAAGTGCCGCCCGTCTTAGGCTTTATCGGGTTTTCAGAGTCACGCTTTGCCGCGAACAGAAGCTGAGAACAAACGAGATATTTTCTGCCCCCCCCCTCTCACCCACCCTTTCTCCCACTTACTCTCTGTCGATCGACGATTCGAAAGGCGTTCCACTTCCAGCCGGTTGCTCGGTCTAGATCGAGAAATAATTTTCATTCAAGGATCGCTCTCTCAGCCTCGCTCTCTTTACGCTGGACGTTTGAACCTCCGCGAACCATCCGCGGCCATCGTTTTATCGCAGAAACCATCGCGAGGCTCGTTACCAGGATTCAAATTAACTGGTAATACAATCTAAAACCTCCATTAATCATACGGAGGCCTGAACGCCTGTGGTCCATTCCAACCCGAATCAGAATTTTCCGGTATAAAGTTTCCGAATGAAATGTTTGAAGAAACTATTCGACTTGTTCCACCCTGTCGACCGAAACCCTGCAATTTGTGGAGGAAAGTTAATAAAATCGTTGGATCGTAAACGGCTAATATCCGAGGATCCCGTTTCCACGCGTCGCGCCTCGCGTCCTCCAGGGCTCCTCGCGGGCAAATTAAATTCGTTCGTGCCTTCCTGTCTGCGACTCCGCGTTTCGAAAGGCCGTACGTAAAACGTTTCGGGTTACGTCATCATATTCCTGTCGATCGACTCGTCTCATCGCTATTCACCGAGCGGCGAGCGAATGAACTCGCAATAATACCGTGCACGTTTCGCGAAGCGAGCGATACGCGTTTCGACGATCGAGCACGGCGTTTACACAGGCGGAATTAATGAGACAGGAACCGCGCATTGGCCGGGCAAATCAGTGTAAACGGAACAAACCGTTCAGGGGCGTCGATTACGATTCGGGTCCTCCACGATCGGGCGCGCGCGCGATAAGCGCGACGAATAAATTCAGAATTCACGGTTAATCCGGGGGGGCGAGCTTGTCCGCGAGTTCTCGATCGATCCCGCTAATTAAATCCCGACGACCCCGGGTGTTCCACGGCGATCGCCTGGTAAGGTAATCCGCGTTATCGATCCCCGATCCCGTGAGACTTGTTCCCAGCCACTCCGTGCCACGACTCCCGTCCGCGGATGAACTTAATTTCGCAGCCGCGGCAAGGTCTTTCACCGACTTCCACTCGTTTCCGCTTCCTTCGGGGCCTCCCTTTGACTGTTTACGCAGTATAATTAACGCTGTGCGCCGCGAAGACGTTAAAGTGGATTCACTGCGGCTGATTTAACAGGGTAAACAAGATTGCACTCGCTTGCGCGAAAGACGCCCCCGACTGGACGACGACGACGATAACGCGTGGCGAGAGATTCCTGTTGAATCTCTGCACGCGGCCATTATTTTTTATGCAATCTCTATACGCTTGATGGACGAACCAAAAATTCAGCTATTTTATAATTACATGCTAGCAGCGTGCGAAAAACTTATAAACGCTGAGCTATCGTTATTGAGAACCGATGCATGCAAGTAAATTAGTGCATTCTCACTTTCGAATACAGAAACTTCAACGAGGTGAGAACAAAATTCGTACAAGAACACTATAATACATGAAAAATTTCTCGACGAAATTAAAAAATTTTAAATCGTTCTGGAAAAATTATTTTCGATTCCGGGGGTCAGTTACAATCATTTTTGGTGAATAGACATACACCCGAAATCCTACCCATTTTCTAGAAAAAAATTCGAGAAAGTATGAAAGTCGACGAAATTAAAAAATTTCAAATCGTTCTAAAAAAATTATTTTTGGTTGCAGGGGTTAATTACAATCATTTTTTATCAATAGACACACTCCCGAAATCCTACGCAGTTTCGAGAAAAAAATTCTTTACCGAAAATATAATGTCTGACCAGGAACAGTCTACTGACACTTTTCGTCGAAAAAATATTTTTTCAAATTGGTCTGGAAAAATTATTTTCGGTAGCAGGGGTTAATTACAATCATATTTGGTGAATAGACACACCCCCGAAATCCTACGCGGTTTCGAGAAAAAAATTCATAATATACAGATTGATCCAGTCATAAGTGATGCAGTGTTTATATCTTTTGCTCGGAAGAAAGGAATCTATCTGAGCAATTGTTCACAGCAGTTATCCAGTAAACGAGAGATTACTAATCCATTAAACCGCGTAACCAGTTCTTTTTCTCTTTAGAAGACTTTCTTCGGCCTAGTTTTGTAAGATGGTCACGACAGTACCTTCTTTGCAAAGGCAAGAAACTAACTCGACGAATACGTGTGAAAACTGAACTGAAGAGGGAAGAATCTTACAGGCACATTGTGTTAATGAAATATAAATGCTTCCGTCAACATCGAATGTCAGAGCCTTTCTTCATCAAAAGATCGAAATGTACAAATAAGAGACGAGGCGACCAAATAAAAGAAACGCAGACAGATAATTGTCGGAATTAGGTGTGCTCGCCTTGCCCAACGTCTGGTCGACTGCTTTGTAACTTTGATCGTCTACGCGTCGTCCCTCGTTAAGGAGAGAGAGAGAGAGAGTCTATAATTGATTTCTCGCGGTTTACGTGTCTGGGAAACGGTAACGCGATCGTAATAATTGTTATCGCGGAATTAATTGAGGGCTCGCTGCCGGCCGAGTACCGGGACTTCGACGGAGAAAGCGCTGTATTAGGTATCCATATTAGGTCTCTATGGCGTTCGTGAGAATTTGTTATATATCGTTCGTTCTGAAAATAGGTCTATGTACTCTTGACTCGCGAAGGAAAAGGTAATCAGAATGCCGGCCCGGAGAGACAATGGCTTGCATCACTAATATTTCGCGGTACTTTCCTTTCTCGAAGCGCAACTCCGGGACGCGCAATTTCAGGCCATCCACCGTCGAAGCGAATAAAACTTATCCCAACGAATACCAATCCTCGGCCAGAGGTTTTTCATACCTCTCGATCTTAATATGCTTCGCGAGTTTGTCGATCGCATCGAGCTACTTTGTAAATCAAATTTATCATTGCCCATTTTTGCAACGCGCTTCGTCGATTCTGGGGTATCTAAATCGCTGAGCGCACCAAGTCTAAACTAATTATTTTTAGCATTGCCTCATCATTTTCACCGTTTAACCGTCGCGTTTAAGATGACTCGGTCTGCGGTTTCTTCATTGAAATACAGTGAATAACAGTTTAATAAACATCTTTCAATGGAGAAACACTAATTATTCTCGAGCACTGTGACTTCCTACGTCGATTATAATCTTCATATATCAATGACTAATAAAAAATTGTTCGAATTGAGATCGAGTGTTCCAAAAGGACCCCGATCAATTTTGACGAAACACGCACGTGGACACTCGAATTTCCATTCGATCCGCCAGGGATGTCCAGGAAGCCTCCCACGCTCCCTGTCGTCGCAACCTTTCGTCGTAAAAGTGAAAACGGAACGCGGATCGTAGAACGCTGTCTCGAGAAACGGTTCCCCAGGACCGTTCGTAAGGATTAAAAACGACGGATGCACTCACCAGCGAGCGACAAGAGGAACGCGACGCATCCGAGTACGCAGAAGCTGTCGTGCAACCGCATGGTCCTCCTCTTCCTGCCCCTTTATCCTCGCGTTCCTTGGTAAAACGATTGTTCGCGCCAGCCGATTAGCTGAAGCTAGGATCGCGTGGTTTGGCGAACCAACGTCATCCTCGACGCTCGTTGGTTTTACGGTGCTGGTGAACGGGTTGACGTGCGTCGAACGGTGTTTAACGCGGAACGGAACGTACGACAGCGGCGATGGTAACCGGTCCTCGGGACGTGAAAGACTGAGGAAAGGCGCGTTTGTTCGGTCGTTGGTCCGCTCGCCGATGTTGAGCATCTACCCACCTCTTGTTCCCTTGCTCCCGGCCATTCCAATCTTTGCCACTCTCCCTTCGACGGAATAAACTCTTCTCCCTTCACGGAGAATCCTCTTTCCGATGGAAAGCCGCTAAGAGACCGACCTTCTGGTTCACGGCGAGACCGCGTCGATCGTATCGGCGTTGTTGATATTCTGGACTCAGCGCGCCAAGGCGTTCCGACGCCGAAGGATAACGCGTGATCGCTCGATCCTTGAGATCACACCCAAAGGTCCCGTTTACGCACCGATATAATAACGCGCGGACGAAATGATCTCTTTTGCAAATCGGTCAAATTTTAAATTGATCTTTTCTATAAAATTAATAGAAGTATTTTTGAACCACGGAGACCCGGGAAATGCGTTCTCGAAATTTTTGCTGAATCTCCGGACTCCACGAATCTTTGTTTCGCAAACATTCGTGGATCGATTGTCAGTGGGATTGGTAAACCCGGTTGTATTTGAAATCTTTACATTGTACCTGGTGGGTTGGTATGTTGACAAGTTCTGGCCGAGTAGCAGGCATCTCAGATATGTCGATACACGGAATTCGACGTACCCCCGATTCAGCTAGACCACTGTCACTGGACCATAAACGGGGCAAAGAATTCAATAAAACGTCATGTTCCTGGAGTCCATCGCGGCGTCAGAGAAGACCCGATAGGCACGCTGCGAATCTGTTGACAGTTATACGAAAATGGACAAGTACATTCTTTTTTTTTTAAATACACGAATATATGTGTTAAGGGTAGTTTGCAGAGAGGATGTTAAACATAGAAAATTTGCATTACAACCAACGTATTAAATATAATATCTATTTTAACACGTAGTATTGGCTCCTAAAAAGTTCCCCATCCCTGTTAAAGCACCTTGTATAAGAGTTATGAGACACACAATATGACCTAATACTTGCGTCACGGAATATTTCAATTGATATTCGACCAGTCGCTCGAGGTACTCGTTAAGAAATCAAAGCGATGACATATCGTGATCTGACTTCTGACATATTTTGGCAGAGAACTTTAATAACGTAGCACTTGGAATAACTAAAAAATTCTTACACGAAAGTGATTGGAACCTCAGAAGGTTCGAATAACTGTACCGACTTTAGTGAAAATAAAAAGTTCGTTGGAGCATACGGTTAGCGAAGCAACGTGAAATTTTACATGGCGTACGCGTTAAATGTTAAAACTACTTTAAATACGTTTCTTGGGTTTTCCTTGAATTTCGTGTCTGTCACTTGTTGACCTTTCCTTGCGTTTTCGACGTTCCAGCCGCGAAACTCGCGAAGGAATCGAGTTGTTGATTTAATCCTGAATCGAGAAGTGCCCGTTTAATAATTTCGAGAATAACTTTATGAAAGATAACAAGGATTTCGTCGTTCCGCCTCGTGTCAGACGTTATGACGATCCGACATCGTTCTTACAATAAGAAACCTTAACTTGTATTGTTCGTTTCATTGCTACGCTTTGTTATTGTTTTACGAACAACGGAGACAATTTCGAACGTTTTTAATTCGAGATATTAAAGCTGCTTCTTTTCGTTTACGTTTCAGAAATTGAAACTGGCAGTTATGCAGCCGACAGAAGTACTGAACACCGACAGCATAGAAGCAACTATCACGCAACATTTTGCTTACTTGCACGGTGTACTTCAAAATGTGGAAACAAAGCTAATCGACTCGCTGCATCAGCGACGTGACTCTAAGAATAAAGATATCGACGAGATTGCACTGCAACTGAGGGAACACGAAGAACGACTGCAATCTGCACACGTTGTAAGAATATTTATAATTTTTCGTCATCTACTCTGCACGTTAATTGAATAGTTCAAATCTTTGCATCAGAATACATAAAATGACTATTAGTAATTAATAATACATCTGTCGCAGAATACAGTTGCAGTGAAATATTTGAACGTGTGAATTCTGAATTCTACAATAATATTTATAATTATTTTCATAATTACCATAGATTCAATCGTTAAAATGAATTTCTATAATTTTTCATTATAATTCAGTATAAGCCATTGTTTCGATCGTGAGTAAATACGTACAAATTTTTCATTAAAGTTCGAACATACTGCTGAAAGTACTCCGACTAAAATTAGATGACATTGCCAATTTTCCATGTGTCATAAAATGTTTAAAATTTTAAATCTTCCCCTGTGAGCTACAGGGGGTGTGTACATGACAGGAGAAATACAAATTTTCATAATGAAATTATTATGGACGGCCAACAGTCATCGAAATGAGCTGTCACGGCGAGAAAGTATTGTCTTCTGTTGACGATTAATTTTAATACGTTTTTTTTCTGTTATAATAAAAATATGTGTATATATTTTGTTGCGTAGATAAGCGCCTCGATCACCGACAATCTTGACAAAATAGACATGAGGAAGCTAATACAAAAATTGGAAAAATTAACCAACACTCCGTGCCATTTGATAATTAATTCCGTGCCAGAAAATCAGGAAATCGAGTAAGTAATATTTTACTCCTATAATATTATTTATAAATAAACCTGCTTCGTATAATATTCATTTGCTTCGTTAAAAGTTTTAAGAGAACAAGAGTGGCTTCTCGTATCCTTAATTAAAAGTAATACTTTCCAAAATAGTTACTACAACGAGAAGGTACTTTTATAAGCATGACTGATATTACTAAAAGCAGGGAAATCTCGAAACACTGTTCACTGTACAAGATACTGAAAATTTACATTAATTCCACTTTCTTCACTTATTCCAAATTGTATTTCTTTCTCTGCTCGTTCAAAATATTAAAACTTCTCACGAACAACAACAAGACACAGTTTCGTTTACTTCGTTCTTCTATATTTTTCGAACATTATTACCAGCGTGTTCTATTCGTCGCGATTTATACAGAAAAATCAAATCCCTTAACTAGTCTTGAAACATACGGAACAGTGTTTCCCGACGCAGTAAAAACTAAAGCTTTTGATAAATCAAAATCTCCAGTACGTATTGAACAATTTATTTTCCTCGCTACCGACGATGGTGCAGAGTCGGACAAATCCTCTGTCGTTTATATCCGTAAGCAGCTTACAGATGTCCAAACGAAAAGTGAATGAGCGCGAGAGAGAAAGGTACAAGAGTAATTAATTAAAGTGAAATGCGCCTACGGTTGCGTTATAAAGCCGCTTCAAAAATTTTTTTTTACCCCTCCCCGAGCCGCGAAAACAAGTGTCGTTCCGCCTCTGTTTCAGTAAACCAGAGCAAACAGGATCCTCCTTGATCGATTACGATTTTCAAAGAAACTAGCAATTTCTTCCCATTTCCCAAACGGTTCGATATAATTCATTATTAAACGTAGTGCACTCTACTTAGCGTTATATTTATGAAGCAACCGACGCCATAGAAAAATAAAACTTGCCATACACGTTCCAGTTGCGTGACGCACCCTATATAGTGCAGTTTTCTTTCTCCGTGTTCCTCCTTGCGAAATGATCAGCTCAGCTTGTGGAGTGTTCATACTGAAACAAATTGCAAGGGTTAATTTAATTAAAATAGAGGGAAATTAGTCTCTTGATGGACCAGTGCACAACTTAACTAGTTTCTTTTAGTCACTTGGCCCCTTTTGGTGCTTTTTTTATCACGCGAATCCGTCTATCGTCATCGTGCGTGGCGATGAGTATCGCTAAATCGTCAGCGTGTTCCATTTGCGTTTCCATCCCGTTGAATTGCAGTTTCATTTCTGAGAGTTCCGTGCCACTCTCGTTCGGTTAAAGTTCCATTTACGTTCCATTTACGTTTCGAGTTTGACTTCTAAAGTTCCCGCTTACGACGCGAGTTTGCGTTCGAGTGCGACCTCGTCGTTTCATCCAGTATTTTATTGTTCGAACGACCATTGTAATATGCAGAGTCTGAAGCAGCGTTCCGTGGGAGGGTGCAACGAGGATGGTCAGCTTTTGCACCTCTCGTACACTCGACGTACCGGTCACTCTACAATGTTACAAGTGCCATTATGATTCTGACCACGAGAGCTCACTATAATTGCTTCCGCTTCTTCCGAACGGTTTTAAAAATTAAACGGACGATGGAAATGTTTACGAAAGACATTCCAAACAACGCGAATATTCCATGCCCGCGTTGCTTCGAATCAGAGTACAATTTATTAATTATTGAGAGGAAAAACCGTTTGTTTCGCAGGTTTCACGTAGACGAAAGCATCGCCGACGCTATCAAAAACCATTGCACATTGAACATACCCCCGGTGACAAATTTCAGTTTGCTTCGAACGGAATTGCTGCCGGACGGTTATGAAATAGAATCGCTGACCGAGGAAAACAGCTTTCCAAGTAAAAATAATTTTCTTCCCGAACCGAGCGTATTTATTCAAAATGGTAAATTTATTTACGCGACGACGAGAATCTTAATTCGTGCCGAATTTCGTTTTCACAGTTGTTAAAGGCAAGCCGTTCTTGCAATTGCAACCACCGCCTGCTACGTCGGTCGTGGACATTCTGCCTCAAAAGATCGATAATCACCTTGTTACCGGTACGTTTTCGCATTTTATCATTCACGAACAATCTCTATAAAATGTACCTTAATTGTGGTTATCGCTAAAAATCTCAGTTTCGAATAATGGGTTATTTTCGTTCGATTTAAAGGATCTTCAGAAATGATCCGTATCACGCACATCGTGGATCCCTCGCTCTTTTACGTTCATTTGGTACGGAACCAGAGTAAAATAGCGAAACTTGCCAAAGAGCTAGCAACGTTAGTTAACACTACCGGAGTTATACCTACGGAGATCACGTTAAGTATGTACCGTTCTCAAGAAAATGATTTTTCGAGACGAACGCGTTGGATGGTCCGTCTTGTATGAGATTTCCTATGTTTCGTTCGTTTTGCAGACGCGTTGTACATCGTGCAATGTAGCAGAGATAGAAATTGGTATCGCGGACGCGTCACGAGCAGGAAAATAAACGCCAACAACGATGAAATGTATAGTACTATGTTCATCGATTACGGAATGAAAGAAGACAACGTGCCATTGACGAGAATAAGAAATATTATACCGCAATTCGCAATAATGCCGCCGCAAGCTCTTAGGTGCGCATTATTCGATATCGTTCCTAATAATGGCCAATGGAACGCAGACGCCACTCAGGCTTTTAAAAAACTTGTGTGCACGTAAGTTTCTCGAAAAACTTAGCAAGATTTACTGGGAAAAATTTTAAAGATTCAATAGGCCAAAATAAGACGAAAATCAAGGATACTAATTCGTTGATTGAATTTTTGAAGAATTTTTTTCACGAAAGTACGTAGGATTTCGGGGGTATCTATATTCACCAAAAATGATTGTAATTGACCCCCACGACCGACAATAATTTTTCCAGAACGATTTGAAATTTTTTTTTATCGCCGAAAAATTTAGGCTACTCGAATTTTTTTCTCGAAAATGCGTAGGAATTCGAGGGTACGTGTATTGACCAAAAATGATTCTAATGGTGCCGTGCAACTAAAAATAATTTTCTCAGAACGATTTAAAAAAATTTTTTTTACCGAAAAATTTCAGCACCTTCTCGAATTTTTTTCTCGAAAGTGAGTAGGATTTCGGGGTTATCTCTATTCACCAAAAATGATTGTAATTGACCCCCACGATCGATAATAATTTTTCCAGAACGATTTGAAATTTTTTTTTATCGCCGAAAAATTTAGGCTACTCGAATTTTTTTCTCGAAAATGCGTAGGAATTCGAGGGTATGTGTATTGACCAAAAATGATTCTAATTGGTCCCTGCAACTAAAAATAATTTTTTCAGAACGATTTAAAACAATTTTTTTCACCGAAAAATTTCAGCACCTACTCGAATTTTTTTCTCGAAAATGAGTAGGATTTCGGGGGTGTGTCTGTTGACCAAAAATGATTGTAATTGACCCCCACGACCGATAATAATTTTTCCAGAACGATTTGAAATTGTTTTTCTTCGCCGAAAAATTTAGGCTAAAAATAATTATTTTGGCGTCTTGAATCTCTGATTAAAGTTTTTCCAGGGGTGGTCGAACACCCTGTGTATCGTTCTAAAAATTCTAACGGATGTATCGTTCTCACAGTAATTCCGCGATTTCGATGTTCATCCTGATGATAACCGGTGACACTTACTATGTCGATATCTGTGGCATTTCATCGAAAGACTCGGGTCTAATATCGGTAAAGGACTCGTTGACGTACATGAAATACGCCACTTGCGTCTCGCAGCACAAATTAGTGGTAATTGTATGCCCTTTGTAATTGTTTACGTTTCGATTGCAAGCTTCACCACCGATCTTTTGTTCGCAGAGGACGAATCCGATGTGCGCGCAAACGTATTATAAAGAGCATTTGGAACTTGAAAAGGAGACGGGGGTTCAGGTTCTATTCGTCGAATCTCCTAGCTCTATATACGTCCAAAAAGTAAGATACATCGACTCGTTTGTTGCAATGTTGTGTTGTGTACAGGGATAAACTACATATTTGGATCAGCTCAACGACACCGACACGATGAATGCCATTTTTTTCAAAAATAAAATAACGTTTGAATGTTTTACCGAAATGTCTATTCGTATATCTGTATACACATAACATGCATATGTAATTGTATCTAACGTGGGTATATACAAATACATATAAACGTATATTTATGTTACGCAGTTATACGCGAATAGGACGTATTTTCACAAGATGAGCCGCGAAATGATGGAAAATTACGAGCAGAACACGGACGATACCGATTTTATAACAGTCCCGTGTAAAGGTAATTTACCCGACCTGTACATTTTCTAACTTCCGTTTCATTCTCGATGGTGAATGTACTACAATTATGTTAATTTTCTCCCCTAAAGAATTACCGTGCGCGGCGCGCGGATCCGATGGATTTTGGCACAGGGGTTTGGTGTGCGGTGTTACGGAAAATACCGTCAGAGTTTTCTACGTCGATTTAGGGTACACGTTGACGTTAAGCTACGATGCTATAAAACCCCTTCCGAAGAAATATATGAGTTGCAAGACTCAGGTGAGTCCCCTTGAGAAATTGTGCCAACGAAAAATCACAAGACACCTCCAACGATTAGAAATAGAAATAGAAATATTAAAGTTCAACGTTTGAAGGATCCACGCGAAAAGTGTGGAATATGCAAGGTGTTACAGTTAATGTGGAACTTATTTCCGGTATTCCTCGCGCTGATATGAATAAAGAATCCTTACATTCGTTGTTGGATCATGGGGGCTTGAAATTTACCACATTTTTATTCACTTATTGCGGGGATCAGTGTGCAAGAGAGTTCTGCGCGTTTTCACTGTCGAGATACAACTGATTGCCGGAAGTTCAGATTTATTTTGGAGTAGGGATGTGCCAGGTAGCCTGATATTCGGAATCGGCGAATTAGGATAGGGCCCGATACGTCTCGACCCGAATTACGTCGAATGATCCCGAATCAGTACGACTCACAGTGTGTCGCGTAAATGGGAATTTGGAACAAAAATCATAGCTTCTAGACTAATCGATTTTCGAACCAAGGCCTCTTACACTTTTTTAAAACGAATACAAAAATCAATTGAATGCACAATAAATTATTTTTAAACTCAATTCAAACTTGATAAACATTTGACATAAAAAATTGGGACCAATTGTTAATGTTGTAAAAAGATCGTTTAGCAGTTAAATTAAAATCACAAACTTTCGGTTAATGGCACATTTTTAAGCAGAATCCACCGAAAATTGCAATGAATATCTAGCATAATTTTCAACAACTTTGTAAATTCAGTAAAAGTTATAGATAGTGTTAAAATCTACCTTTGAAGAATTTATAAAACATAGACTTTAGTTTTTTTACTTTTGTCCATTGCTGGACACACTGTGTCTCGAAACGTCTACTTTTTGTTTATATCTTACATTGACTGTATTAAAAATGTCGATTTATACCGATCCTCGATGAATTGATCCTTGAAAACAGATCCCACATTACTGGCTAACACCCTGCACACAACGAGCAATTTAAAAATAATTTTTCCCCTACCCATCAGGCTATAAAAGTTTCTTTAAGAAACGTGAAACCATTCCATGGCAGTAACAATGAATGGGAACCAGAGACGAACGAGTATCTGAAGAAACTTCTGATGAACTCGAAGCCCTTTAACCTTTTCGCTTTTGAACAAATTAACGACACGTACAGCGTGCTTATGTACACGAATAACAGAGACAGCATCACTCATATGTTAGTAAAGAACAATCTCGCGATGAGTATAAAAACAAGGTAAACACACCTATCATTCCTCGATTTCCACTTGAAAATCGATATATTAAAAGTAATTTCTCTGTTTTGTAACAGCCCTTTCGGCCCGAACGCGATCACGAAAAGGCAAAAGAAAAAACCGAACGCCAAAAAGCAAAACTTTAAGCCAGAAATACCCGCGCAACCGTACGACGAGCCAAATAGAAATATGGCGAATAAAACCGAATCGAGGGAAGAGGATCCTTTCAAAATAAACGTTCTGATACAGCACGTCCACTCCCCGGACTGTATTTACGTGTCCGACCCGTCGTATCAAGCTGACGTAGAAAAGATGATGAAAGAAATGCAAAATTTCTACAGGGAGTATTACTCCATGGCGGAAATTTGGAGCGAGGATGCAGTTTGCGCGGTGTGTTTATCGAGAAACGGGTATTATCGCGCTCAGATCGTTCGAATAGAGTCTAAGGATAAAGTGGTCGTGTTTTTGTTCGACCTGGGCATCGAGGAAACAGTCACCATAAAAGACATACAAGCACTGTGCCCGGTATTTCAAAAAATACGAGCAAATGTGTTTAAAATTAAGTTGACCGGTATATTGCCCTGCGGAGGATCCGACAACTGGCCATCGTTATCCTGCGAAGAACTGCGGGCGATTTTGAACAGCCCCAACTGCAAATTCTACATATCGAAACTCGTGAGCACTTTGTATTCTACGATTAATTTCCATAAATTCGTTTATTTTGCTCCTACTTAAAAGATCTAACGATTTTCTATGTCACGCAGGACAACGAGGATATAGAAAATTCTGCGATCCCCGTTGAATTGTGGATAAAAGAAACAAAGATAACCGGACCATTGGCGCCCACCAAAGTGGAAATTAATTCCGTGAATAGAATGTTGGTTGAAAAGGGCGTTGCCTTGCCCATAAAAGAGTATGTGACAATTTGCAAAATATTTCAAACTAATGTTATTTGTTCGTGTCTGTTTATTAATCAATTTTATCGAAATAGATATGCAAAGAAGCGCGATAAGATTCTAGCGATCGAGTTAAGGAGGCATTTGATGAAAAGAATGGAAAGGTTGACGCAATGCAAATCAAACGCAAAATGGTTCAAAATCACCAACGAGCCGGATAATTCTATCGATATGAACTCTAGTACGAATACGGTGCAAAAAGTGTTACGATTCTCAGACTCGAGCTCAAACTCGGACACGGATAATCCGGATTGCAATTTGAAAGAAGTATTCGACAACATTCCATCGCTACCTGTATTTTCGACTTGGTTACCTGTAGAACCCATATTGGAGAAAACATTTATCGCCAAACCTACATACTTGGATCACAATGGATTCCTATATTTACACTCTGTAGAGCAAAGTATGTACTCTCTATATAATCCAGTTATTAAATAATAATTTAATAAATTTAAATAGCTGAAATAAAAAGTATTTAGTATTTTTAATTTTGAAAATTAATGACTTTCTTAACTTAAAATTTTTAATATTATGCCCCAATAAAAGGATAAATTATAAATTCATTAATGAAGATAAAAAATACTTTCAATACTATATTTAAAATTTTTATAATTTAAAAAAAATATTTAATTGCATTAAGTAATTCTAGTGTAAATAGAGATAAAGTTACAATTTTATTTACACAATATATTAATTCTTTTGTGCCCCATTTTCCCCAGATGAAGAAACGTTACAGAAAATAGAAGCAACGTTAGAAAAACTGTATAAAAATTGTTCGCTAAATACATGCGATACTTTGTGGACTGCGGGAGACTTATGCATCGCGCAATATCATGCAAATAAAAAATGGTATCGAGGAAAAGTGATGAAAGTTTTGGAGGATTACTCGCTCGATGTAAAAAATGGATTATTTAGTTATACGGGAACGTTTGTACAACGCTTCGTAACAAAATTTCTCTATTATAGGTGCAGTTTGTAGATTACGGTAACATCGAGGAATCTTCGATCGGTACTGTGAAGAAGAAAATTGTTTTACAAAACATTCCCATCCAATGTACAAAATGTCTGATCGATGGATTTCATCCGGTGAATGTTTTAAATAATTTAAATATATCGTTTGATTATTCTGTTGATATCAAATTGTAATTTAAATCTTTTTTTTCCACCTGGTAGATAAATAAAGCTGAAAAGTGGGGAACAGACGTTTTGGATAAAGTGCATGGTCTTCTAATTGATCAAAAATGCGAAGTGACTGTTCTAAACACAACCGACGAATATCTAATTGTAAGTAATCGCTTAAAATACGAGGTTTATGCTAGTGTAAAACCTTTGATAAAATACATTACACTTTATTTTATTTAATCTCTAAACATACGTAACAAAATACTTTTAGATTCGTGTAACGTTATTACCAAACAAGTATTGCAAAAAAAGGTGCAATTTAATTACATTTCTAATTGATGATTGGAAAATGAGTATCAAACCCAACGATAAAAGTAGTATATATGAAGAGGATGTATCCACGTCGGATACCCCGGACGTCATAATTATAGAAAACTCGATTTCATCTAGTTCGGAAACAGAACTAATAAAAGACACAGTTCTCAGTGGGTGTTCTTTATTACTCCCAAACACGAATACAGTAAACATGGATGAAAGTTGTGCTACAACCGATATTGAGAATTTATGGTACGAAGAAAAGGACATAGTCTCTTCAACGCCTCGCGTCGTATCTAATGAGAACCTCGCGATCAGTAATAAATTGATCAAAGATCTACAAAACGAAGAATACTTTGAAATAGAACTGTGTTGCAGTATCAATGAAATTGAATTCCACGCCCAATTAAAGGAAAACACACAATCACCGGTATACGATAAATTTTAATACATTACACTTCACCTTTACATGCTTTGTGTCTAATACTTTCTTCATTTTAGGTTTTAAGTACATATTATAAGCAATATCTGCTTCTAATGAACGATTTGCAAGAAAATGCATCGAAACAGCCAATGATTACGAATATCGTTCCCAGTGAGTATTACTCGTTAACACATTAAACTATTTCTAATAAAAACTTTTAAATTTTAAATAAAAAAAAAAGTCCATAAAGTAATTTTAAAGAAAGAAGAAACGAAGTAAAATTGACTCTATTTCACAGACACGCCATGTTGTGCGAAATTCAATGACAATCTATGGTATAGATGTCTGATAGTAGAAACTGAACCTAAAAAAGATACAGATAATATTGAAATTAAATTATTATATATTGACTTCGGTAACGATGAATATAAAACGGTAAATTCTCAAAAGTAAGTGTTACTTTCATACAATTTTCCGAAAGATCTACTAATACTAAAACTCGCTCCATAATTCCATTCAAATAGTCAACACTAATCTTATTTAAAAATCTTTAATTTAAAACGAAATTAATTTACAAATAAACGTAATCTTACGTTGCATCGTTAAACAACAACGTAACAACATATTTTTTTTTTCTTTTGTTTATATATAAGATGCGAATTATATACCATGAAAAAGGAGTGGGCAGATCTACCAGCTATGTCGATTAAGTGTAAATTATGGAATGTACAAGTCATTGCCCCTCCTAATGCACTTGATATGCTTGCATCTGAATTAGAAAAAATGTACAGTAAATGTGTTATAGCTACAGTAATAGTAAGTAACCAAATGGATTGGTACTACCTCAATCTCGAATAGTGCGTATTTATTAACAAGTTGTAACTATTTAAACTGGACATTTTAGGAACATGACGAAGATTTAACATGCGTCGAACTGTACGAAAACAAAAATTGCGACACACTTCTGTACCAAACGCTTATCGACAAAGGTTTGTTTCAAATTAAATTGAAAAAGAACTAACTAACTACATCGTCTCTAAATTAAGTAGTAAACATTTATTTTTACGACATTTATAAAAGGGACACTCGTACCGAAAGTATAAAATTACTCAATTCCAAATAGCAGCCTAAGTTTTCTATATTTATCACCGTGATATTATTGTATTTAGTTTATTTAATACCATTGACACAGAGAAAGTTTCATACATTTATTTCCCATGCTAGAATAAGCTTATACATTATAGTTATATAACATTTATGTAAGTTTAAAGATATAAAAAAGAGATCATTATACGTTAACGTTGTGTACTTTTCGCGATTTGTTCTTTAAGTACTAAAATGCTTTGTCTTTGTTCGGGCGGTAACATAGCAATTTGTTCATCTGATAATTGTAATACTTGCATTATCAATGCAGCCTGTAACAACATTAGCAATTACTTTCATATTCTTTTGTATATTGTACTCACATATCTATGTAATATTTAATATATTTTTATATAAATTCATGTGATAACGTACCTTCTCCTGATCCGATGCCCCACTGGGTATATTACCTGCTGATGACATACCTGCCATCAGTCTCGAGGTTGCGGACGTTGTAGATACCGGAAGTGTAGGTGCGGGAACTGTAACACTAGCAGCGACAACGTTTGTAGGTTGAACAATAGGTGCAGCAACGGGTCTGGGCACCACTGGCGGTGCAACTGGCACTGGTGCTAAAAAAAATTAAAAGTTACAAATATATTAGAATAACATTACTATAGAAAAAATAAGGTGACTTGTAACAACTTATATAGTAATTCCGTTGGTTTGAAATCTTACGATTAGCTTTTGTAATTCTCGGATCAATGGGCATCCTTGGATCTCTAGGATCTCTTGGATCTCTGACAAATCTATCTGTTCTTGGATCACGACAAAAGCTGGAAAAGATATATTTTTAAAAGAAACCTTAAATATAGCTATTCATTAGGTTATCTAAAGTAATTATGGAACCTCTCAACTCCTTCAACAGGAAGAGCGCTGTAAAAAACGGTGTACTTTTTAATTATGATATTAATTCAAAGAGTTAGTGTAATATGAGGATAATACTAACTTATCGGCGATACTAAACGTGCTCAGTCCCCTGGGATCAGTGTTGGTGGATACGACCGGAGGCGCGCTAACGGGTGTTGGTTGTACTTGTTGTGGTCCTCTTAGATCTTGATCCATTCTAGCTAAACGTGGATCCATTTGTCTATCTAATGTACGTAGATCGACATCTTGTCCTGTTATAAAATTACGTTACTTGAAAGCTTTGAATGTAGTTTTTTTTATGGTTGCAACATAACTTTGTCAATATTTAAAAATATGAAAATAAACGGAAGTAGTATAATTACTTACTTGAATGTACGTATATATGACAAAAGTTGAAAATTGACTTTTTTCAAAAATGAAGCCTTAAGTAAACAAATTTTATTTTACACTTTCACTCCACTTCACTTTAAATTTTATTCCAAAAAATTCTATCAAAAAGAAACAGTGCCTTTGTATGATTCTTAACAAAATCGATTTTTTGTTTATATTTTTTGCAACTTAACATTTTAAGTATAAAAAAAAATATAAAAAGTGTGCATACAGCTTTAATCTTACCGGCAAAGATGGGTGCTGGAGGATTGGTAACTGGTGCTGGTCGTGCTGGAGCCCATGGTTCTTCAATCCGTGGTACGATTGGATGTACAGGTGGTTTATCGGTAGGTGTCAATACACTTGGGATTGGATTTGCTTTATGTAACATATTAACTGCTGTGTGTGGATCTACTATTCGCATCACTACCTGTGCTTGCAGCAAGGCATAGGCCAGCTGAGGATTTTGGAGCAGCATTTGACGCGCCTCGTTTGGATTATTTTGTACACAGAGTTTCATTTGCTTCATTAGTTCGAACATTTGCTCAGGCGGCAGCGACGCAACAGCTTTACTTATAGCCTCCGGTGCTTTATCGGCTTGTACTGCCTCGCCATAAGGATTTTCAGTATTTTGCCCTTGCAAAAGGCTCTGCATTTCCATCCGACTTTTTTCTGTACAAGCATTGTCAACACGTAATGTTCTTCCGCCGATTTCATAACCATTCAAATTTCTCATAGCACTAAGAGCAGTTTCTTGATCTTTGTACTCACAAAAGCCATAGCCCTTGGGCTTGCCTGTTTCTCGGTCAAACACTAATCTTTTTAAAACAATTTAAAATCTGTTAATTATATCTACGTGTAGATTTAGAACATGTTTAACTTATAACAAGTATTTCATAATGCATGTACAACCACAGACTACAAAAATTAAACAAAAAATAATTTTGGTAAATAATAATGTATATATTTAAAATAAACCAACTTGAAAGAAAGTACTGGTCCAACTTCGCTGAAAATATCCTTTAAATTCTCTTCTGTAGCTTCGTACGGGATATTCCCGACTGTTAAAAAAGATTAGATACATTTGAAGGTTATACGGCACAGATATTAATGAAAAATAATTAATCATCGATGTTTTCTTACCGAAAACACTCCGCATGGACTTATCCATGAGCGATTGATCCGAAATAGTTGAATTACTCATGTTTGCAATTTATTCGCTTTTGTTTATTATTCGAAATTTAAACACACTACTCGTCGAAGGAAAACACAAACGAGACCGACTTACATCGGTGCATATTATGATAGAATACAGCACATACTATGACTCAATTTAATTTGCAAATGAAATTTATATTCTTCATTTCTTTAAAATAAAATTAGTTAAAATTAATTGTGCCTTTCTTAAAATGAATTGTTACTTAATGAATTGTAAAATAATTGTAAATGTGCATGCCAATTGGCGATAGGTGCCCGATGGCGGTAAAAATCTGTTATCTGTCATGGCGTCCTAGTAACAGATTTACCGCGAAATTCAAATGGATTAACATGCATTTAAATGTACAAATCTATATTTAAAAAATAAATTCTCAATATTTTACATAAAAATGTGTGTTTATGTTTTGTAGTTTATATTTTAATAGGTGATTGGAAGATCATAAAACAAGGATCCAATTAATGTTGTTTGACAAATCATACTCTTTCCTCATTCAATGATGGAACAATCGTAGATTAGTGTGAACTAACACAACTTCATGCTCATCACAGGCTTGTATCACCGCCTCGTCATTTGTAGAACCGGAAGGACTAGTAATATATTTAACACCACTCTGTAATTAAATAACATTTTTACATGATGTCTTATAAAAAAGAAGTAATATAAAAGTAACTACATACCAGTCTGGCTCTATCCACATTATCTCTGAACGGAAAGAAAGCATCACTGCTTACAACAACGTTATCCGCCTTTTTGATCCATTCCGATCTATCGTTTTCGGAGAGTTTTTGTGGAACTTCTTCGTACATGGCAGCCCACGCAGACTCATCCATGTCTTTGCCTATGGATCCGTTTACATAATTATCGATTGCATTTGAGATTTCCGCTCTCTTTACACCCTTTTTAAACTTCATACTAGTAACTTTCGGATGTTGACGGAGCCACCTAAAATATGTTCAATAGTAAATTTCAAGAACAAGTTACAACATTTACCATTGTATGTAAATTATGAAACATAATGTACCAATTGTCAGCTTTATCGCCAGCAAGTCTTGTACAATGAATCCTTGATTGTTGCCCCGCACCGATTCCAATCACTTGCCCGTCTTTTGCATAGCATACTGAATTGCTTTGTGTGTATTTTACTGCTATAGTAGCTACAATCAAATCTCTCATAGCAGAGTCAGAGATAACTGTCGAATCTTTTGTAACAATATTGGCGAACGTATCCTTATTAATAACTGCATCATTACGCTTTTGCTCCATAGTCAAACCAAACAAAACTTTGCGTTCCATCGGCGACGGTACATAAGTGGGATCAATCTGAAGGATACAATATGCACCATTCTTTTTTTTCTTCAAAATTTGAAGTGCAACTTCTGAGTAACCTGGTGCAATAATACCATCGGAGACCTCTCTGAAATTATGTGTATATTCAGATTACTATGATAAATATAATTCATTTTTTGATATCCAAGAAATTGTATCAATTTTTTATTACCTAGATATGATCTTAGCTGTAACAGCATCGCATGGAGCAGACAATGCTACAAAATCCCCGAAACTTGACATTCTGTCTGCTCCTCGCGCGCGAGCATAAGCAGTTGCTAATGGTGTAAGTTGACTCAGCAAGTCATCTACTTGACATAATTTTGCTTGTACGGTATCTAATGGTACACCAACTGCTGCACCAGCTGGACTGACATGTTTGAAGGATGTTGCAGCTGGCAAATTTAAAGCTGCTTCCAATTCCTTCACCAATTGATACCCATTTAATGCATCACAAAGATTAATGAAACCTGGTGAACCATTCAATACGGTCAGAGGTAACTTTTCCAAAGTGGTAAAAATTTGGGCCGGTCTTTGATGTGGATTCATTCCATATCGCAATGTCAGCTGAGAAACACCGGCACTATATTGTTTACGAAAATAGTCTGAGATAGCATTATCATATTCAGCTGTATGAGTAAATGCTTTGAGTGCTAATACTTGTCTAAAAAATAACAAGAACAATGTTAAAGCCAATTGGACAGAACTTGGAACATTTACTTTTCAAATTTGATTTCAATGAACAATATACCTAGTTTCCAAAGAAGTATCTTTATCAACGGATAACTCCATCTCTTTTCCAACTTTATCATAATCACTAGGATCACAAACAACAGTTACCCTGCTATGATTCTTAGCTGCAGCTCTTAATAAAGTTACTCCACCAATATCAATATTTTCAACAGCATCCTCCATTAACACATCTGGTTTTGAAATTGTATTTACAAATGGATATAAATTGCACACTACAAGTCGAATGAGTTCATAATCTTGTTTAGAAAGATCCTCTAGATCAGGCTTTGTAAGTCTGGCTAATATACCTGCAATATAAAGTAATGTATTGTATAATATTTATAACATGAACAAAAGCCAGTAATCTATTTAAATACACTTATTGTTTACCAGCATGTACAGCAGGATGAAGAGTTTTTACACGCCCATTAAGCATCTCAGGTGCACCAGTAATATTGGAAACATCTTTTACTGGAAGCCCAGCATTCCTCAAAGAGTTTGCTGTTCCACCAGATGCAACTAAGATCAAGCCTAACTCGTGTAATTTTCTAGCAAATGGTAACAGATTCGTCTTATCAGACACGCTCAAAAGTGCTGAAATAATGTAAAGTTTTAATGTAAATCGTCCGTAAAACTTATAAATTATACGAAGAAAACAATTATGAACAAAATATCTTTACGATATTAAACAATTCAATATCGATTTCTATATAGATTTTGTCTAATAAATATAAATATAATTTACCTAAATTTCCTGCGGACATTGTGCTATTCTTTAAAAAACGATACTGTTCTGGGAATCGAAATAACTTTGTACGAAATCAGTGGTCGTATTAACCAATATCACGATTCGCACGCGACTTGTAAAAGCCGGACTCAACAAGTGTTCGACTCTAAAGTAATCTCCATTCCAATTATAGTTCACACATTGCCCCATGCTGAGCATGCAAACGTGTGTGTGAACGGCTATAGTACCATTTATTACTTATGGAGCGCGCTATACATGCGTTTCGCGAATGTATGCGCATAAAATTAAAATTATCTCGCAACTTGCGGGGGTCTTGCAAGTCAAATGTTATCTCGTTTAAATTATATAAGATGTTTTACGGTAAACAGTACAAAAACACGTTATAAACAACGTTGTGTACAGCGGTAATTTCGCGAGAATAAAAAATATAAAAATTCAATGAAAAACTATCGACCAGAACAAGTAAAACCTTTTATTTTTTTTAGGATATGAAGGACAGGATACAGGGAATATTTATTGACATAGTTTATGTATAGATCTCATGTAATGAAAGTAGCTAATTTCACAAAATATTTATTATGCACATCTTTCAATGTTTTTTTTTTTTTATGCAATAAATTAATTATTGTTAATAACAACATTCTCTACTATTGTTGATAAAATAGTTTTGTCATTTTTTTTTGTTAAATTAATGCATGCTTTAAATTAAAACGACTTAAATGCATTAGTACAAACAAGGCACTTGACTCTAATTTATAGTTTAACATAGTATTGACCAGTGTTATTTTTAAAAGAGACTAAGAGAAAATATACCTGTATGCGTTTGTAATGAATATTAAATAATATCAACAGACTATTTCTGTTTGAAAAAAACGTACTGTAGGTTACAAAACAAAAAATGTATTGTATATAATTATTTTGCAATAACAATACAGTTTAAGGTGTACTATAGTCATAAACTGCATTGAAAAATTTATATAGTTTTCTATTTACGAAGGATTGTTTATAAAGAAAAAGAAAACGATGTAAAAGGATTATTAAAATAATTATCACCTAAGTATTTCAAAGATAAAAACTTCATTGATGTGTATTCTGTAACTTTCTTGATCAAGCATTTTTATAAATAACAATTTTCATATATTTTTCCATTCAACAGAAAGAAAAATATAGTAAAATTTCAAAATAACGTTTGAAATTGAAAACTATACAATGATTGAATACAAATTTAAACGGACGCATTACATTATAGCCTTGAAAAGTATTGCATTAAAAACAGCTGTATTGTAATATGAACACATTCGCCTGTGCTTATTTTTTTGAGAAATACACTATAATGCATACATATATAGTCATCTTTAAAATTGATTTCACCAATAACAAGCAGCTTGCACTCGTTATTTATTGTCAAAATAAATAAAAAAATATTCAAAAATTTTTAAGTACTTTAGTAATTGCACATGATACATCATATTAGAAATTGGCACAAATATGACTATAAGAAACCTTATCAAAAATATTTTTTAATTAAATAAAATGTGTTTTCGTATAAATTTACATAAGTGTGTATTATATAAAACAGTGATTTTAATGCAGCACTTTATGTAAAGAACAAAAATTTTCTTGCGTATAACGCAATTTTGTTAACGAAATTGCACTAAAAAGTAATAAAACTTTTTTTAAAACTAACGTCAGAATATTTCATCATTTATACTGTCTTACAGAACAATATTAGTGTTTTAATCCTGAGTAGTAACATAGATTACTCGAAGAAATTTAATTCGTCAATTATTCTTGTTAGTAATGAAATATTGTTTTGTAACTGCATATTACTATGTAATTGATTAATTCTTTCTTATACCCTTGTAAAGAAAGGTAATCTTCTATTAAAAAGTAAACATTTTACAATACTGCATTTTTTTTTTATAAGAAGCAGATTCTTCCTAAATTCTGATTACTATAGCATCAGATTTGGAAAAATATACGTATCTAGAGTTAAAGTTTAGTTGATTGTTGTAATTAAATATTACATTTTTTTGTCAAATTACATAAAATAGATCAATTTTTAACTACTTCTTTTTTTTTTTTTCCGTCGCCCACTCGTCTTTTCATAAAAAAATGTAGTAATGGCAACTTCGTTTCTACCACTTGCACAGCAGGTATGACATCTACTTTTTTGGCGAATTCATTAAATCTATTTGTTCTTTTTCTTCCTCCGAGAGAAATATTTTGGTAATTACTATATCACCAGTACTATACGTTTGGCAAGCCACGCTATTTCCGATTTTACGAACCGTTCGTGGACTCTTTATATCTCGACACGAGCACGCACATTTTGTTGGAGATGCGTCCACACTACTTGAAGAAAATTGATCGGTCGCAGTGCCGGTAACAGCCGAAAGAATTGCTTCCAATTTTTCAATTTTCTCAAATCGGTCCATCCGTTCATCGGAAAGTATCTCATCGACCATTTGCATTGATTCTGTGAGGCTAGGGGTGTCAGAGTTTCTTGGTGACAGTATACCACCTAGAAGCACAAACATTAAATATTTTTAAGTCAATGTTTCTAAAACTTCTCAAAAAATTCATCTAAGTAAAAAAACCCCCAGCCCCTAATAAGAATAAAATATTACAGGAAGCATTTTTCAGAGAGGATTATTAATTGTAAATGGATGTACCAGAATGTGAATTTTCCGAAGTATAACTTTCCATGCTATGGTATTCTGTGTCGTCAACTTTATCGTCGTCATCGTCGTCGCTGCTGTCTCCTTTATCTTGACCCATGTTCTCCAGCTTTTCCAATTTCCTTGCAACTTTGTAACTACCTTTCAACTTCTCCTTTTCATCCTCAGTAAGATCCAAGTAACGCAAAAGACGTATTTCACGATTACTTAGCACGATATTTTTAGTAGTCGTCTCTTCCATTCTCTTCTTCAAATCTGCAACCTCCGTTTCCACTTTCCGTTGCTTCTTACGTGTTTTCACTTCTGCAGGTTTAATGTGCATTTGAATTTGCTCTTCGCACAACTCGGCAAACAGAGCTTGTACTTCCGGTTTTATAAGTCTAATGGCATTAAAAGCAAACGAGAAATAATTATAAGATGACTATAGGTTCTCGCGACCCGAGTACGAAAATTTATAAACTCATTCAATAACTTATCAATAAACTTATTCGGTATATAGTATATAAGTAAATCATACTTAGCCATAGAAACATATATTTGTGGAACAAGGCACAGAACGTCGCTGCAAGCATAAATGAGCATGTCTCGTGTTAATGGACGCCGACACCAGTACCTTTGATTATTACGATAGATATTTTTTAATTGTTCCTTTAATGGATTACACGGAGCACCATATTGATCACATAGTATATTCAGATTAACATTCTTAACTTTATATACAGGTTTACCAGTTTCTTGAAACTGAAGCACAGCATGAGCTGCCTATAAATGTAAACATAGTTTGTTCTTCTAATAATGCATATTTTTGTTATTTTATAGTCTAAATTATATTTGAAAAATATTTAACAATTCCAAATCAAATACCTGTGTATCAAAAACATTGTTTAACATAATCTTGAACTGTCTATACAAATTGACACTGTCGTTTCTACAATCATGAATTACCTGAAATTATATATGTAATATATAAAAGCTAAACGAAGTACGAAATAAATATTCAGCATTATCATTCCTTACTTTAATAACATTTTTATGCTCTATAAGTTTTTGAAGTCCTCCAGCTTGAACAAGATTGGGGCACGTGAATAGGTCAAATACATATGCTTGTCCAAACATAGTACCAATTTGTATGAGCGTTAGTTGTCCTTTAACTCCTAAATTTATGCCTTCGCAATCAAATGAAACAGCAATTTTGCCGTCGGGAGGCGGCTTACGAGGATTTATTATATCCTCAATAATTTGAAGACTTTCCCTTGGATTTACGATCACTCTAGTTTGTTGTAGTACTTTCAATTTCCATGCATCTCCCATTTGCACAATTTGTAAACTACGATCTTTCTCCGTATTATCTGCCAAAGTCTTCATTACAAGTGTGTTTATTCTTTGCTTTAAGGTTTGCTGCTGTAAGCTCACTGGAGGAGAGTTGTTGTTGCTTTCGTTCACTTGAGAATAAGAACTCTGTACAGAATTAACTTGATTAATTACATTAGTACTAATACATTCTGAATTAGTTGTTGGCTGTGATGTTTGAGTATTACTTGATTCACATTTATTCGACTGAACAGGTAGACTTGCAATGGTTTGACTCGCAGTACTATTTTGATTTCTTACGGAATTCGCAAGTTTTGTTTTTGTCTTCCCCTCTACCGTAGAAGATTTCGGCCTTCCAATTAGTGTTACCAAATTGCTTTGAACGTGAAACGCGTCGGGGAATATTTTGACAAATGTACATAAATCCTGGGGTGTCTTAAATATGGAGGTCCAATTTTCATAACAAAATTTATCGTTAACTATGTTGAACAGTTGGTCTATAAGAATTGGACCCTTTTGCTCAATACAATCGCAAAGAAAATCTAATAATTTTGCTGTAACATCTGGATCTATAGGTATATCAGGTTCTAATTTTAACATGGGCTCTGGTTTCATGCCTTCGTATTGCTTTAATATTACATTGTCTTCAGTAACCACAAAAGCGTCAGGATACTTTAAAAGAAAATCTCTAAATTCTTTGTAGTGTTGGCCAGAAATGTGTCTAACTTCCGGAGAGGCCTGAGATCTATGTCCCAAAAGGCTTTTAATTGGTACTTCTGTACCTACGCCGTATTGCAGTAACTTATTTGTAAAATATTCTACAGCCTCTCGTGCATAATCACGTTTACCACTTAATTTACATCCATTTTCTTCTTCTACAACTTGTTGAAATGTATTCACAGATACATAATCACCATTAATAACGAAAAGCATCGGATATTGAGCTAAAAATTTTTTAAGGCCACTTTGAGAACCACCAGCTATTTGTCGCATTTCTTTTGTAAAACCTTTAGCTCCAAATTGGCAGCTTAAATCGTGGAGCGTACGTGGCCCACCTTTCTCCACAAGAAGTTCAAAAAAGAATAACAGTGTCATATTTCGTACAGTCTCATATTCTGAACTATCCATCTTTCTACTTCGTATTTTGCTTCCAATATATTTATAGTTTAATTATTTACAATTCCTGAAGAATGATGTCATGATACATCCTAAAATTGTAAAAATTAATCATATTTATTTCTTAATAAATGTATAAAGGGTGGTTCTAATAAATGGACCAGATTATAGCTTTGTCCTGAGTGTAATATAAAAAAGGATTGTATTATAGAATAATACAGATAATTGAAACCTATACTATCTTCTGATTTTTTTTCTATTTTTTGCTTAGAACGAATATATAGCTTGGCCCAATTATTAGAATCTCTTCTAATTTTATTTGTCCAATATATAGCCAAGCAATGTATATTTACCATCATAATAACCATCAAATAGAAAGGATAAAAGCACAGGAATTAATTATTGCCATCCTTTATTGTGTACTCTTACAAATACTTCATTAGTAATACTTTCATGGAAAAGAGACACACAAATTTTGGTATCAATTAATTAAATTCCAATGAATAAACAATTGCACAGCCACCATAACAAAGGATAAGCTAAATCTAGAATTTATTAAAATTATACAATTAAATATAAAAAATGTAATCAATCAACTTCTACCTTTCTTTACTAATTCTTAACACATACCTTGTTAATAGCTATACTTCTTTAAGATGCAAATTTTTCTTTACCAATATCATACACTTTGTATAAAATACAAACATTATAAAATCTTCCTTCTGCCTTTTTGTAGAATACTTCAATTAATGGAGATTAATAATAAAAGGTTTATCTAAGGCATAGTGTAGTATAGTATCATGATCATCATAACCTAAAAGAAACATGAAATATTGACGTTAATATAGATATTTACTGATTATTCATTCAATATTGATAATTAATGACAGAAACTTAAAATGATAAAATATCTTCATACATTGATCGGGTTTTAATGAATCGAAGTAGCTATGTCTCGAAATATCTGACGAACACAAGTAGCGAGAAACTTGTGCACTTTTGATATACACGAATATTTTATAAATTCATACTTTTATGTTATGAATTTGAATATTAATGAATGAACATCACGATTTATTAAAATATCACAATTACATATCGCGTATAAGACATATGTCCGAATATTAATTTTCTACATTAGAGTACTGTTGTATAATTTGGCATTGACCAGTATGAACATTATCTACGATAAATAAAATTTCACCCAACTACAGCGCATATTGGATATAAATTTAAGAATCGACGATATCTGAATTGTAAGATATTACAGGTCAAACAACTCTGACATAGATTTAAAATACCACACCACAAACACTAATGAACTCAATACATATCCATATAATATCCGTTAAACCAGACTATTTCTAAAAAAAACAATGATAATAAGGTACAATGCTTTATCAAGGGCTTGCTAATACCTTGCCTAATATGTATGTAGTAAAATTTCAGTTATCCGCCAATGTGGTGCACCGTGCAATATATCATTCTATACATACTGATACATGCATATCCAATTAATTCTCACCTGGTAAAACAGACACGAGAGGGAGTATTGAAAGAAGAGAATAGCTTTCTCAAAAAATGATAACAATTACAGCGGCTGACCTTCATTTATGTTTTAAATGAATTTAGAATTAATGCCCCGACCATGGTCCCAACACAAGCTTTGCTTTTGTTTGCGTTTGTTAGTTAACAAATTAAGTTGTACAAAATTAAGTATATATTCGCTTGAGAAGCACTTTAACAAACATTTATAATACAATGCATATTTATAACATGTAAATAGAAAATTATACATATGTTATATAATACGACTATGTAGTAACATATATTCTAAATAATGCAGTAAACAATGATGGGATATGATAAAATCTGCAATTAGAATAAATTCGAGACAGTAAAATTCAGTAATAATACTTGTAATACTACTGGGCTACTTTGTTTGAATACATTGTAATCTGCTTGCTATTTTATTTAGTAAAATTCTGAGAAATAATAATTCTTTTGGATTTATTCCAAATTCAAAATACCTATTTAGAATAACACATGATGAATTTACTAGAATTTGTTTCGTTAAGTTGGCCACAGTTTTATTTCGAATAAGGTATATGTCATGTCAACATTGTCAACTATATAAATTTGTTTGAAATTAGTTTCCAGTGAAACGAAAACTGAAAATTATCGTTAAAAATAATTGATGTTGAAAAACGTGTAGTAAAGTATTATGAATTTAGAAAACTTCTGTGTGTATAGAATCTTTGTACTTATAAATTGAATAATATGTATTATTGTTGAACGCATAAAGCAATTCTATACTTCAAACTTTAATTTAACTTAAAATATGTATCGAACTTGTAATGACGAAGATGAATTCGAACCAAGAATTACCCCAAAGCCTGCTGCTAAGCTGGATGTAAGTTTTTTCTTTTAAACAAAACGTATAATAATAACATACTTCGTTACAAAATATCAAAGTTTTTAATTTGTTGTGTTTTTAGATGATTTTTAAAAAATTCTGACCTTTTACAGTATTACTTAAATAAAAGTAAAAATATTAATTTTTTGTTCGCATATTTCAATATTTCATGTTCAAAACAATTGTATTTTAGTAAAGAGAGTAGTTACATTACAAAAATAATATATTTTAATGTTTATAATTTTAGTGCTTTACAGTACCATCAGTTCCTGAGGTTTCTTTAGTATTTGATAAACCCTTAAATCGTAGGACTACAGATTACAAGGGTTTTCATTCACCACCTGTTGAACCAAAAGGTTTAATGCATAAGAATGTTTCATCACCTTTAAGTAGCAATGGATCATATGCAGCATGGAAGGAACAGAATTATTCAAGGAGACCACCAATTTCTAAGATTAATGATCATGCTACTCCTCAGAAAATGCATTGTAATCAAAGTTATACTTCAGAACCTTATCACCCACAGGATGTTTCAAAAGAATCTAAAGGGAGAAATTATATTTTGAAGAAAGACTGTTATATGAGTCCAAAGTATAAAGTACAAACACATAGGAGAAATGATGATAAATCATGCATGCATTCCTATGAAATGTGCAAAGATAATGCACCATACACAGAAGAATATCAGAATATGAAAACTCAGTCTAGTAACACAATGAGACAAATTGACCCTGTTTCTGCTGTGCCACATGGTGTTAAAGCATGCATAAATATTGATAATTATGATGTCAATGAGAAGGAATATTCTCCATTATTGTATGAAAGGAAATTAGTAACTCATAATTCTGAACAACAAAAAGTACAATTTAATGATTCAGTTGATGGACCAACTGTACAAAATTTAACTATTAATCCAAATACTTTGAAGAGAAATGACATTCAGTTACCACATTACTTAGGACATCAGTATCCTTGCTTTAATAGAAATGCATATACTTTTCCACAACTTCATCCATGTTCTACTCACAACACAGATAGTCAAGAAACTGTCAAGAATTTATTACAAATTATAAATAGTCAAAATGAGCAAATTAAATCTTTGCAGACACAAGTTGATAGATTATTGAAAATGCAAGAAGAAAATTTTAAGGAAAGGAAAAATTATTTTTGTTCATCTCAATTACAGCAACAGAGTGATCAGTTGTTTGTACATTCTAATGACAATTCTGTAAGTGCTTCCAATTACATTGAAGCACCACAGAATGTAAAGAAACATGCATATCAATGTGAACCATCTAAAGATAAAGAAAAAGAAAATTGTAATGAGAGTGAAAGCGTAAACCAGGCTGAATTAATATTAACAGAAGCACAATCAAGAAAGACTTTTATGGAACAAAAAGTTTCCATTGGAGTAATGACAAGCTTTGAATTCACTGTACAAAATAGTCCTTTTACAGTGGACATTGATGATTATGAGAGAAAAGATAGCCAACAAGAAAAAGCTAATTTAAAAATGTGCAACAATGTTGGTCTCCATGATGGTAGTGAATCTTTGAGAAGATATAAAAATTCCTTTACTAGAATGCCTAGTGCACAATTGGAAAACATAGTTGAGGACTCTGAGAGTTATATGTCATCTAGTCAACAACAAAGTAGTAATTTAAATGCAAGTGTTTCCTTGAAAGATTTAGAAAAACAACCTCATATAGATATTCGAAAGGAAACGGATATTCGTAGATCTATGTCTCCCAAATTATGCAAAGACACAATTACAAAATCAAATCAGACCGAGGCTGTGCAAAAGTATTTAGAAAAAATTAATACAAAAGGAACGAGTTACGAAATTGTAAAAACACCATTGATACGAAAAAACTCTCCAGAATACAGCAATCTTGGAAATAGCAATCATGTTCTTGGAAAAACAAATATTCCTACTAATATAGATCAATGTACAAAGTTAAATATGCAAAAAATTAATGGTTCTGTAAAAACTAATAATTCTGTAAATAGCTCAACTGATTATTATAAGGATTATCGAAAAGAAGGGCAGACTAATGTCGCTAAACGAGCGAGTTGCATCGAAGACAGTATGATTTTAAATGGTGGTGATTTAAGAATAAATGAAAGGCCACCCCCTACTCCAGAACCCAGTATTCATGTTGAAATGCAGGAGTATTCTAGTGATGATGATAGTGAGAAAGTTAAACGTAGTTCCAAAGTGGGTTGGACTTTTTATAATAATGTTCTTGGACAAGTAAATCAGTTATTACAAAATTCTAGCGTTATAGACGATCAGCAACAAGATCAAAAGAAAGTAAATCAGAATGAAAAAGATGAGAGTGAAAATAGAGTACTAGATACTGTGAAAGTTGCTACATTAGAACAACTTAAGAAACTTGGGATTAGTTTAAGCGAAAATCCAGAACACAAAGAAGTAAACAATAGCAATAAGTATGTTTTGAATTCATAAATATATTATATTGTCTATATTAAGTTTATATTGTATTTATCGAATAAGTTTGTTAATTTGTTTGGAAGGATGGCATTTGACTTATCATTCTACCCACGTTTGGATTATCAAGCAAATATGACACACACAAGTGCTGTAAACGAAACAAATACAAGTATGCATATGAAGGCATTAGCTTTAAAGTATTTGTCCGATGAACAACTTGCTGAATTAGCGGTACAAAGGCAGGGTTCAGCATCTGTAAAACATCTTATGGTCAGCAATGTACAAGGCACAAACATGTCTTTTGCTACAATGCGTTATTTAGAAAGATATCAATTACTTCCAGGAAAGAATACTGTTCAAACAGAAGGTAAAAGAATAAACTAAAGTAATTTTTATGCAATATATGCAACATATTTTTAAACTAATATTTGTAAAATATCATAGAGGTATGAAGGAACTACATTTTTCGTTTTACAGATAATAGCAAAGTTCACGTTGAAGCGTCTCCGAAGGTTGATTTGAAATTTGCTAATTCAAAAAATAGTCCCGCAACACAACGTTATCCATTTAGTCAAACACCTAGAACGACTTGTCCTAGTAAGATTCTAGATATTTCAACTTTAAAGCAACAACCCAAACTGCTATAACAATCGGTAATATTAATATATGAAATAGAAATTTAAAAATTTTATAATTTTTAGAAACTTTTAATTCTTTCGACATTAAAGTGTATATAATGATTATTATACTGCAAAGAATCCGTTGTATTACTTATTAATTATTATGTTTACGAATCTTTTATAGGTGTTCATCACATACACTACACAGAATCATTCATCTGTCTTTATAAATATTCAACAGCTTAAGAACATATTTATATTACTTAAGATATTTTCACAATGTACTTTATTATATTTATATTATATATACTAAATAGAAATCATTTTTAGAGTGGAGTATTTAAAAAAATAATTAACAATGAAAAAGTGTTATGTACAATGTTCATACAAAGAATTTATACAATAGTGTACATTATTTTATACTCGGAAAGTCCATGACTCGGAAGAATGATATTATTTGCAACTAATATAAAGTGTTGTGTTCCTATAAAATTAGTTGAAGACAATACACAAAAATGATTTAAAAATGTGTGTATTTAAATAATTCTAATAAAATGTAGTTATAAAACTTTGTTACCAGAAATTTGTAACCAATAAAAAATGTTTCTACAAGAACTCCTCTTATAAGTTTCCTTTTCTAATGACTGAAGTACTTTTAACGTTTGATAAAACAATATACGAGTACACTTATACCGAATGTTTATATACACAGTAACGGCTATAATTTACTAAAATTTAATACATAAAAATGTATATGAAAATGTAAATTAGAACCCATTTAATTATTTAAACCTTCATGGTAAAATAACAGTCTTTATTTAGACAACTCGATAATGGTAGAATTCCATAACTAAATGACTAATATTAATACCTGCGCATAATGTCATAATATATATCAGTAATATTATTGGTAATGCTGATAATATTACATGTGTCTTATGAAGTATTTCAATACCTAAAATAAATACGAATGATTTAGTAATTCTTATTCTGTACAATAAAAAATTATATTTACACTCACTTGTATAACCCAAAAATGTAATATTAATATAATAAACAACAGCTATTAACCATATTGTGTTTCCAATTAATCGCGATGAAAATGTATCATAATTTATAAAACCTGGAAACAATTAGTTTTCAAAATGAGCAAATAATACATTTCTTTTAGTATACATTAATAGTAACAAAAAATAGTGACTCACTGTACAAAAAAAGTTGAACAATATGAAGTATAATTAAAGGTGGAAAGAATGCGTTCAAATGAATGTCAAATGCATAGCCCCACTCTACATTTTGAGTTTTATCGAATCTTAAATAACGATTTGTTATAAACCTGCAAATAAAAGAAATTTTATTACTTTATTAATACATTTTATGTTGTTTATAGTTATGTTATTTATAGTAATGTCCTATAAAGTTTACCAAAATATTGTAGCTACTATCAGACCAGCTGCAAGGTAATCAATAAATATCATATAAAACAGTAGTTTTATAAATTGGAAAAATCCTAATCCCAGGACTATAGTAAAACCAATAGAAGATATACATATACAACACATTAGTAATACCAAAAATGCAGGATCGTCTCTTGCAAATTGTGATTTTGTTTCTAAAAATAAAACATTAACTGCTGATTTTTTATGTTAGAAATTTTATCATTATAGAGAGAATAACATACGTTTTCTACTTTGAAAATTTCTGTATACTTTCTGTGGTGATATGAATAAAAAAATCATCTGCCACAAGGCAAATTCAAAATCCATTTGTTCAAATTTTAATAGTTTCCTCAAGTATTTGTAACACTTTGTTGCAGCCCCCATACAATCTTGCCTAAAATACATTGATTTTGTTAGAAGTTGTTATGATAATGTTACAAACCAATGCATAATTTCTTACCTGTAAGTTACTGGCATCGGTAAATTTGAACCTAATTCAGATGGGGCACTAGAGTTACGCCTACTTACCCGTGGCGACGTGGAATATTTCATTCTAGGATCTGTTTTAAAAAGAATAATCAGTTTTTGTAAACTGCAAGTACTGTCAAAAGGAGAAAAGACATTTACAGTGATAAGGGCAAATTTATTTTAAATAGATTCTACGACGATCAGTTTTGTTTCCAAAGTATTATAATTGTATACCGTGTTTTTATCACGACTATTGGTAGTATTTACTTATTTTTTCTTCAATTATAGACAACTTGTAATCCTATCAATCTAACGTATCGTTCATTATCATAGGTTATGTTTATATACTTTTTAATCATTGGACCGTGTAGAACACGGTCTACAATAAATTTCGTTGATCGATGACTGAATTAACGATAAATAATTCTTTACGTAGGTGACAATGAATCACGTGTGTGTAAAATATCACCCTGTACTTTTAAAATCAAAATTATTTAAACTATGAAGGCTATTGGCTTCATTCCAGTCAATCTGATTCTGATTCAATAGCATATTCCCCCTCATTTTATTCTGTCACTAATAAACATCCATATTTTTTTTTGTTACCGATTTTAATGTACTTTGTAACTAAATTGAAAGTATTGCATAAAATGAAAAATCTAAATTATTGTACAATATGTTACTGTTTTTTTAATTCTGTTATTTTGTTCTACTTTATTCGATTTTAATGACGAATAAAAATGCGAAATGACACTAATTATAGTATATATTTATGAAAAATATAATGTAATACCAATGAATCATGAATCTTGTAAACAATTGATAAATTTATATTCTTTGTGTATTAATTGTTAAACTATTATATTATCGAATGATAAAGGAATGATAGATATTGATTTGTAAGCGGTGGTACACTTATATATATATATTTATTTATTTATTCATTCATTCATTGTGTATTTATATTATGTACAAAGTAGTCTCTAACCACATAATGGACGCAACAAACGAACCTGTATATACAAATATATGATTACAGATACATCGAAAATGTTCACACATCAGACGTAAAAGTATGCGTGTAATTGAATTACGACTTATCACTGTACCACAAATTAATATGTATAGCTAATACATATAGCTTTGTGTCTTTTTTTCTTTCCATATTTTTATAGGATACAACTATGTATGTATATATCATTTGTCTCAAATCGCATATCGTTCTTACGTATTTTTTATACATATTGTATATGTGTGTATATGTATATAAATGTATACATACATATACACACATATATACATGTATATACATAATGAGCCATTTGTGACTGAAATTGTAAATAGTTTTATTGTTTGTCGTGATACGAAAAAAAGTTTGAAAAGATATATAATTCGAAGATAGAAATTACATTTTCTTGTTAACAATTTTCAAGACATAATCACTTAATCTTTTGTTAATGGAACCCACAGTTTTCCAAAGTTTGAAAAGTGCAATAATAAGATCAGCTCAATCGTAACAATGTATGATATCATATTGATAGAAACTTTATAAACTGAACACATTTAAAATTACGTTGAATAGACAAAGAGAGAGAGTAGAGCACCCATTTTCCTGTTATATACTTTCCCTCTCTATCAAGGCCGTATGCAATCCAAGAATTGCAACAAAAAAACATTTTTTTTTGTAAAACATGCGATTAATCGATAAACTTTGTTGCAATGTTTAGCTTGCCTATGACTTCGTACGAGAGAAAAACATGTTTGCTCTTTCTGTTACTGAATTCCGAATTCAATTCGTTTTATTATATCGTTTCTATTGATATAACAAAAATATATGTTCCATTTAGGCATTTCAGTGACTAAATTCTGAGAAACTGTAATCTTACGAAAAAATGATTTTTATCGTATTACGTGTTATTTATAATAAGACACCTTTATCTGAAACTTTCTTCATATTATTGAAAATAATAGAAATTTTTGCAATTTCAGTCTTATGGGACTCAACCTGCATACAGTAAACCATCGTATCAATACCGACATTTATAAAAATATGCGTGTACCTTTAAAAGTTATGCACTTTAAAACGAGCACACTAATGCTATATATATATATATATATATATATATGTATATATGTATGTATGTATATATGTATGTATGTATGTATGTATGTATATGTAAATACTCTTGATTCAATATTGGTTTACTCTATGTATTTATAATTACAAACAATAAGCCAACATTTGATCAAGTTTATTGTTTAACATTCTCTGTTTTAATCTGTAGGGGATACAAGAGCTTTTTTGACAGATTATTTTAAATCGTGCGTACTTCTTTCAGCGAAAATTGGGGCATATCGATAGATACAAAAGCATTCATTGATTTTTACATACATAGAAATACATATGTCAAAAGGCACTGAACATACAACGAGTTCGTCCGCAATGTAACTGATATATGACACGTTACAGGTATTACAAGAGCAACATTGTAATCGACAAGACCATTTCTCATGTCTTAACTTTGTTTCTAAAGTAACGGATATTGCTATCTTAACTAATTAAAAAATTTGTTGTAGCTTTCGATATTGTCACTAAATAATCTACAATTCTTTACACCCTCTCAGAGATTTTTTTTATTTAAAAAAAAATTTGTTAATGTAACGAAAGACCACGAAATTATGAGTATTTAAGTGGAGCCGGTTAAATTATATAAAGTGATCGTATTTTTATAAGCAACGGCAGGAACGTTGTAAGTGGTTTTCCTTGGACCCGAATATAGATATTGGTTTTATAACGATGGAATATATAGCGTGCATGTAACGTTCTTGTTGGTAATTCATGTCACATTTGACACAATCTTTTATGCAACGTAGTTCCTACGTTTGAATTCTGAGCTTTTTATATATACATTATAAGTTATGCATTTTATTACTTAAAAGTATTGCATGCGTATATTTGTTACTTGGAATTGTACAGAACATATCAGACTTTATGACCATCATGACTGGCAGCTTTAAACTCATCTAACTGTTACTGAATGTTAACGTTAAATGTTGATTACATATAAACTGACTGATATCAATTGGTGTATTAGATTTGATAATTACAAGTTGTAACGTTCAAAAGATAATTATTACCGCTTGCATTTAACAGTACTGTATGTTTACATTTGCAAGATTTCATCTAAATCATTTCAATCAAGAACGTTCTTTTGCATATAATTTTCCATTTAACATCATGCGTGAGATGACTTGTTTTAAATAGTTAAATCTCTTCATTTGAACACAATAATATTACATTTGTTGCGGTATTTTTTCTTCAAACAAAATAAATAAATTTTAAATTAGGAGTTAATATGCCAGTACACATGACACAGTCTATGACAATTGTAACATTGTTTTATATAAATATTTTTGTGACGCAAAAATTCTACCATGTAGAAGACGAAGTAAATGTTCACGACGTGCGTCGTGAAACATATTAGCATAGTTTTTTGTTTATTTTCGGAAATATTTAGGTAAGACATTGTAGTCCAGTGCCCACTATGATAAACAAATATTTACAAATTATAATTTTCCATCGAACGTACATGACATGACGTTAGTGCGTCGCATATGTTGCGTACGAAAACCGCAGAACAATTATAAATAATGTTTTAATTAGGAATGTTCGATTTCTAAATTAATTTATAAGTATACATAATTATATTTATCGTCGTTGAATAGTGGCTTATTCTTCTGCACAAATATCCCAAATAATAAATTTTTAATTACGTTACTTCATTAATGTTTAGTTATAATTTACCATATGCTCATCTGTAATAATGGTCAGTGTAGTAGTTACAACTATAGTAGTGCATTTGAAACTTTGTACGAATCCGTTGGGAAAATCATTACACAAAATGAGCTATTACCATTGTATACAAGTGATAAAAGATGAAATTTTCAAAAATTTCTAATGCTTAAATAGAAATAATATATAATTGATGCTTGAAATACGTGATGATTTGAGGAATAACTTATACTTGTACATATTTAAAAATTTTTGTTCGTAAATAATTTAAGTTTTTTATTTATATTCTATAAAGCACTATGAGCAACTTCTACTAGACTTATGCAACCGACTCAAGTCTACAGAAATTTGTTTAAATAAAACATGTAAATGAAAATGCTTGGTAATTGATGTTAACACTTATTAACGGTTCGTTATTATTTTATATATAAAGTATATCTTTTAACTAAATAAAGATATTATAATGCAAGACAATGAAGGAAGACAAAAAAGCATGATTGTACATCATCGATGTCATATTTCGTAAAATAATATTAATTGCATAACTTTGTTCTATAATTAATGTTAACAATGTGCAATACTCATTCCTTATAATTTGTTTACATTGAATTGTACACTAAATAACGTATTCACCAATCTTCGAAGTTCATAAGATTGACTAGAAAGTATGTAACTACTACTTGTTCGATTTTAAAGTAATGTTGTAGCAAGGTAATGTTTAACATTTGCGAATCATTTGATTGATAAACGATATTAAATATATATAATTTTAGTTTGATTCTTTATAACGCACAAAGTCTTTGTTTCCAGCTTCGTATATTTCAATAATTTTTAAGAGATGTTATAATTTTAATTGAATTTGCATCTTGTGTACAGACACTGTCAGTCTCTTGTATTGAAGATATTGGCAGTTTCTTTATGTCCTGAATAAAATTACACGCAGAAATAGCTTTTGCCCCACATCTATACGGATTCATCAATTGCCATTATATTTTCCAGAATACATCAGTTTTCTCTATTTTATTCAAAATGCTAGGCCATGTTCCATCTAAATCGTATCTATAGAGTTTCTAACAAACGAAAATTGTAATTATGTTAACATTAATGTGAGATTAAAAGTTGTAAAGTAAAAGCAAAACCAATAACAGTAATTAATGTTTAATTTTGAAATTTGTCACTTTACATAGTAATAAACAAACGTCGTAGATCATATTATAATACACAAGTTCTCATAGTAGTTAAAAAATCAGACTTTCTAGGCCTGTAGCCTATGAAACGGAGTACATTATACATTGTATTTCTGTTGGACTTCAATCTAATCACAGTTTATTCTGATGAATGAGTTAACGTAAGTTTATCAGCCACGATTTTGTGACGGGATTATTAAAAAAGAACGGAGTTCTAATATACCTTTTCCACACATTCCAATCACAATTTTATCCCAGTATGCCACCCTTACCCTGGACCATTGGAACTACTTTTACACGAAATCATTATATACTGTAAGTTAATTACATCGCCAGTGTAAGTTCTACTGTCTCAACTCTTCGTATGCACTTAAAGAGTTACGTTTTGTTCGTTATACTTTACAAAATAAATGTTTCAAATATTCCTACTAGTTACCATTAATTATTATTTTTTGACAAGACAAATGATCATTAAGATCCAAGGTATTGGTGTGTCTGTTTCTTACTTTGTATCGTACAGGTATATGGTATATACCAACAGTTTAACGTTTCTTACATTAAGTTCCATACATTTAGTAAAGACAATGTATAGAGAGGAATCAACTTTCAAATTTTTTACATATAATTCGTAGCAGTAATTAAAACAAATATTCAAAGCATACACATAATTAGCTATACATAATTTATGGGATAACGCATAAAGTAAGACAAATCACTTTAACATCGTTTACGTTTTCTAAAATTCTATAATCGAGAAATATTAATGCTTATCCAATTTTTTTTTTAATACATATGTATTTTTCGTATTTATAGGAATCTTTTTATCGGTAAATTCTCGTGAATTGGCATTATATATAAACTAAAAAATTAATCGACAAATTACTGTGCCGTTTGAGTAAAAAGTATTTCTACATTTGACTACTCTCATCTTATTAAGAATACACGTAGAATTAGACGCAACCTTATTTGGACGAAAATACCGTGCACGTTTTAAAACAATTTAATTTTTTCATGTACGTGCAAAAAAGCAGACTTTATTATTAATTAAGGTAATTGAAAATTTACATTTAGGTATTATTGCCATATTTACTGAAATAATGGAAAATATATAGTTTGAAAAAAAAGAATTACGCAAATTTTAAGATATAGATATAGACTTAATAATAGGAAGATTAATCATAAAGTTTGATTGAATTTAATGTTTATCCAATAGAGCGAATAATATCTTTGTGATCATGTCTTGCTGAAAAAATTTGTTCGTTCACTTATTATGTTTGACACGATCTATATTTTTAAACTGTATTCTTAACATGCGTTTAAATTATCGTACATGTGCATAGCCTTTAAACAAATACAGAGTTGCATTAGGAAGAAAAAAATAAAATAAAAAAAAAAAAAAAACAAAAAATGTGGCAACTCTATGTTAAATACAAATTAAGAGATATTATGTTTAACGTTTCGAACGAGTGAATTTACCAATGAAAAGATATTTATGTGTGTATATTAAATATATCATACTTGTTTCTTGATGTAATCAACCGTGTTACATCAAATTTTAAAGGTATCATCGAGATACAATTAATGTAAGTTGTGCTACAAGACTGAGACTAAAGCAAAGTGTTTACAGCACCACGATTTAAACTCAAATAATATCTTAATGCATTTACAGCTGATAATAAATTTTTCTGTATATCCAACATTGTGACTAATCGTTTTAGATATAAAAAAAATTAAAAGGCAGTATCATAAATGTAAAGTATAATTATACATGTTGGTAATTGTTTTATAGTTCAGGAGATTGGTTTTTTAAATATCCATTATTTCAATTTCTGTACGCATATCAGTAACAAATATATCATATGCGTTTTTTTTTGCTATAATGTATAGGTACATGTAATTGTATAACATCTAAAGCCAAGCTCCTGTAATATACACAACATTTTGAGGCACTTAAATGTGTGCTCAAAGACCATACACTTCTGATAACTCTTATATTACTTGCCAAAGCATAATTCTAAATCGTATGTTATCTCATGTAACAGTAATATTAAAAAGAAAAGTCAGTGCCGTAAATAGGTGCCTAAACATCATAACAATGTATACTTTTTTTTTTTTCTTTTAAGTTGAACACAAAACTAAAATCTATAGAAGTATGATTTCCAGAATATTAATAACAAC